CCGCGGTGCTGAAAGAAGCCGCGCAGCGGCTGCAGGGCGGGGTCCGCGGGGCGGGGGCAACTTCTCCTGGACTCAACGGGGCAGGGGCGGGGCCTTGACTCCTAGGGGGCGGAGCTGGGCTGGAGTCCCGCGCCAGGAATGGGGCAGGGCTTCTCTGAGGAGCTTCTGCTCTGTCCCAATGGCCAGTGGCCTCAGCCCTTCTCGGACACTCTCCCAGAAACAAAGGGCAGTTCGGATATAGCCAGGCCGCCTCTTACAGGCAGGGGAGGGCGGAGGTGGGTGGTGTGCCCAGAAGGGGTTGTTAGAAGCCTCAGGTGGTCTTCTCTGAAGGTTTCTTTCTGGATCCGACTGTTGGGCTGGATTCCAGCAATGGGTTAGACCTCTTGCGCATCCTTACCAAGTGCCCTCCAGCTGAACTCTAGTGCCCATGCAGAGCTCCCAGTGGCAAGCCCATCCAGGACCTGGTCCTGGGAAAGTAGGGTAGTAGTATACATGATGTACAGGGAATATACAATGAGGTGTTTTCTTTAGACGCCTGAGAGAGCTCTTAGCATACAGGTACTTCTTGGGAGGAGAACAGATTTAAAACCACTTGTTAGCCAGTGACCACTGATAAAACTGTCTGAGTACTGATTGAAAATGAATACACTAAAAGAAGCAAATGGGGATAGGTGAGGTTTATTGAAAGAGGCTTCTTGGAGAGAAGGGAGAGAAGGGGACTACTGTTCACTGAGCATCTTGGTGGGCTTGGGAGTTTTGCATAGTTTTGAGTCAGGCCTTGGAGGGCAAGCATTCATATGGGGAAAGGACCTTAGGCAAAGGCCAATAGTGGAATCAGTGAAAGGAGTTGAGCTGGGGGATGGGAGAGGTAAAGTGGGAGAAAAAGGGAATTGATAAAGACTTTCAGATCCCATTTTGAGCGTCTAAATTTAATTGATGGACAACAAAGTTCTTAAGCAGTTAGACATGAAGGAAATATTCTAGTGAAAGAAACTTTACAATAGCAAGTGGGAGAGGGAGAATGGACAAGGAGGCTCAGTGAGGTTTTTGCTGGAGTCCAGGTGAGAGGCTTGGAGTCCTGGGCTGGGTGTGCCTTTGCCATGCAGAGCCACAATGTATGATGGGGGCCTCGCTGGCCACTGTGGCTGAGGGATGGGAGGGCTGCAAGTGCGGCTTCCTGTGGGGGGCAGAGTTGTCCTGGCTGCCCCTGTGTTGGGGGCAGGCAGGCTGGCTGTGGAGGAAAAGTGGGACTGCTTCTCATGGGCTCAGTGCCTGAGGTGCTGAGCTCTGAGGAGGGATTTGGGGAGTGGGACACTCATTCATTCATTTAAACACTCATTTAAACATTTTCCAAGTACCCACTATGTGCCATAGTCTGTGTTGGCTATAGATGTTACACCGTGTCCTGATGGCTGTCTTGCCCTCACAGAACTGACAGCTAGTAATGAGAACAAATAAGGACATTACAGCACAGCAAAGTAAGAGCAGTGAGAGAGACATCAAATGAGGGTGCTGTGGAGTCTGCAGTCAGAACAAAAAGTGCTTGGGCTCAATCAGAACTCAAGAAGACCTCTTGAAACCTGGGCAGAGGTGGGGACCATGGAGATCTCAGCCCAGTCCTTCTATACTTTGAACCCCTGACTTCTGGGCTCAGGTCCTCAATTCAGAGAAAGCTGGTACCATCTTTTGGCCACCTCCACACTAGCTCAACTGCAACCCTGGAGCCTCCTCCCTGTGGTTACTGACTTTGATGCTACTTCCCCTCAAGGTTCCCCTAATCTCTTACAGGCATTGATTCTCAGCCTCCCCAGGAGCCCCTGGGGCTTCAGTCCAAACTCAGTAAGTTCCATATATTGGGTGTGGCAGACAGACCTGGGCTGGAAAGAAAGGGCTAGAAGAGGCAGAAGCAGAGGCCTTCCCTCTCTCTTCCTAGGTTTATCCCTAGAGTACTCATTTTCCAAATGTCCTTCTAAAGCTCTCCCTCCCCATCTACCCCTCCCCTTTGAGCCTGGAAAGGTGCTGTTTGTCCTATGCTCGATCCCCAGGGCAACAGGCAAGGCAGCAGGTGTGTGTGCTGAACAAGGCCATCTCCAGAGCAGAGTGGCTGGAGATGAGCTTTGTTTAAATATTAAAGAAGTCAATCATTAATCAACACTGGCTTGGTGCCCAGCTACCCACTGTCTCCATTTGGGAGGGCCTGGACTGGGGCAGGGAGGGCCATGGGGCAGTTTTTAAGGCTACTTGCATCTCAGATAGCCAACAAGCAGCTTTCAGGGCCTGGATTACGCAGCCCAACATAAGGCAGGCCAGAGGATCAGCAGAAGGATGTGCTGGCCAGTACACAGAGCACAGTGCTCATGAACCAGGCAGCAACGATTTGTACAGGAATGTCTGGTTCTACTTGAATACATTTTATAAGCAGTGTCCTGTTTCTGACCAGAGCAGATACTCCTTGGGCACTGCAGTCCCTGTCCAGTCCCACAGTTGGGCTCCTGAAGAAAGTAAGACTATGTGAAGAACTAGTTCTGGGCATGAATTGGGGTGGAGAGCTTGTTTGGAGGGACACAGCCACTGGGTTACTAAAACTATGGTTCCTGAGCCCCTGGGGGAAGGAGGTTGGCCTGGAGCCCAGGGTATACATGGAATCACACAGTCACCTGTGCATATGGCCTCACATACATGAGTTCACACTTGTACAGTTACAACCCCTGTGTACCCAGATCTGCCACAGCTGCACCCAATTACAGTTGGGCACTAGGCATGCAAGCAGTCCCCTCCCCAGACCCCCAACCCTCTCTAGTTTGGCCACCCTCCTCCAGCACCACCCCTTCCCCACCCTCCCACCCCCACCTCACCAGTCGCACTGGTGTCTAGTCCCAACTCCACCAGTCAGATCTCATCCACGGAGGCACCCTGTTGTGCTGTGTGGAAATCCGAATGATCAGGCTGATTGAGCACAGCATCAGGATGAGGCAGAGTCCCAGCAGCATCCACTGTCTTTTGGCAACCTGGTGGGGCTCCATGGCTATGCCCAGGAAGTAGGCTTTGGGTGGCGTCTTGAGTGCATCGGTGTCCTGTGCACTGGTGTCCTGTGCGCTGGTGTCCTGAGCGCTGGTGTCCTGTGCACTGGTGTCTTGGGTCAGTAACCTTTTTTGCAGGGTGTACAGCCTGTAGGCCAGCAGCAGGACCACCAAGAACATGACAAAGCTCAGGGCCAGTAACATCCACTGCCCAAATTTGGCCTGGTCAGGGTCCAGCTCCAGATCCAGGAATGCCACTCTGTCTGTCTCTTTTTCTGTGGAAGACATGGGAGGTTTATAGAGCAGGTAGAACTGGGGAGGGTGCCCTGGGGTGTCCCGTGGCAATCAGAGAAGATTTGACAGCTACTGGCTTTCTCCCTCAGCCTCTGGCACCTACTTTCTAAGCCAAAGGTGAGGTCTTGCCCTGAAAGGAGAGAGCAAGAGGAGAAGAAGGAAAAGAAGGAGGAGACGATAGAGGTAGGGCTATGTGACACTCACAATGGCTCCATGCAAGGGTCAGGAGGCAAAATACTGACCCTGTGCCAGTCCGTCAGTCTAGCTGGACAGTATGCAAGGAAGCAACTGAGCCAGCGGCTGGAGCATGGGCTGTAGTCTTGGCTGAGTCTGCATCAGGTGCAGACAGGGTCATACAGCAGCAGTGCTTTGCTCATTCAAGCCAGGTCATAGATAGGCTAGGTGTTAAGGCTGGGTTGGGTTAGGGGCTGTCCCAGGGCAGGCTGGGGTGGGGCTTAGGGCTGGAACAGAGGTGAGACTAGCATCAGATTACCAAACCTTCAAAGGAACAGCTGAAGTCTGGCCAGCCCAAGATATCCCCGTGCCGCACATTCTCAGTGACCAGCCAGTCCAGCAGCGGCTTGAAGTAGGTCATGAGGGCCTTTGCAGACATCTTGGTCTCCCCAGTTATCTTCTCCAGGACTTCTGGCCAGGGCTTGCTCCAGCCCAGCTTTAGGACATCCCTGGAAGAGTGGGTACAGCTGTGAGGGCATCCGGGGTTACTGCTGGGACCCCCTCAGTATGCCCACCCCCACCTTTAGGGCTTTGCCAGCCAGACTCTTCCAACAGAGCTCAGCATAGTGGATGAAATCGCAAGCTTTGAAATAACACGAACCTGTGTTTGAATCCTGACTCTGTCACTCAGCTGTGGGAGCTTGGGCGAGTACTTAACATTTCTAAATCTCAATTTCCATGTCCATAAAATAGAGAAAATAACAGCATCCATCTCCTAGGGTTGTTGTGCTGACTAATAAACACAGTTCTGGGTGCATAATAGGCAGGCAATAAGTATTTGCTGCTTCTTCTATTATTATTATTATTCTTACCACTACCGTGATGATGATTATCCTCCTAGACTCAAATAGGCATAAAGTCTTGAGACACTGTTTCCCATGAGGTGCTCAGTGTCAGTAGAGAAAGGCAGCTCTTCAGCCCTTTCTGGTCTCACAGGGAGTGTTTGGGCGGATTAGAGAGATAATAAGCGTGGGATGTGTTCTGTGCACTGCCTGCAGCGCTGCGTAAATGTCAGCTCTGTCTCAAGGCACACCCAGTGCTTGGTGGCGGGGGTCTAGCTTGGCCTGTGCACACATGGTGGGGGTACAGAGTGTGCTACAGCCGGGGCTCTGGGCTCCTCCACCCCAGGAGCTCCTGCAGAGGCAGTAGGAGACATATGTTGACGCTTCTCAACCTGTTTCCCTGATCTGACCAGAGGAGAGATGGGGTCCAGAGGTCCAGAAGTCAGAGTGTAGAGTCTAGGCCAACAGGACCCAGGTTCCAGATCCAGCAGTGCTAGTTATGGGCTGCAGAACCACAGAAATTAACCAAACCTTTCTTAGCCTCAGTTTCCTCATCAGTAAAATGGGCGCCTATTAATACCTGCAGTTCACTATGGTGAGGATTAAGTTACATAATGGCAGCAAAAGAGGGCTTTGTAGCTTGCAGAGACTTATACACATGACTTAACAAACAAGTGGGAAAGAATAAAGTGGGGAAACTAAAGGTCAGTGGATCCTTGGCAGAAACCACTGGGGGAAAATGTAGTTAAGATTCTAGAGAAATAGAGAAATGTTATCAAGATAAAGAGAATAAAAAACATAAACAAAAACCCATAACTAGCTTTTGGTAAGAGGGTTTTATCAGATGCCAGTCTGAGTAGACAGATTCTCAATGGTTGAGAATCTGTCTACTCAGAAATAGTCCCTCAGGCTGGGCAGGACAAGAGATTTGATGTGGGAAGCACATGAGACTTGCAAAGGTGACAACTGGGCATTGTCCAGAACCCTAAACTCCCAGGTGGCAGCAATGGGACCCATGGGCAAGGTCAGGTCCTCATGGCTGGCTGGGTGAGGCAGAGGACTTTGGGAACTTGGACCAAGTCCACTTCGACCCTCCATTCCCAGCAGCACCAGCCCAGAGCAATCACATTTAGGAAGAGGAGTCAAAAGTAGCAAAAATAAGTTTTTAGCTATATTAGGCAAAAAAGTGGCCAAGATCCAAGAATCTTGCCCTTCTCCTTCTCCCCTGCAAGCACTTGCCTGCCCCACTCTGCCACAAAATTACTAGTGATGACAGGCAAGCCCTCTACATGTTTTGGTGCCAAGTCAGACCCTGGGAACCTCGTATGCCCTGGATGGAGTCAGGAGGGAAGTGATGAGAATAACTGAGGTCAAATGTCCTGCCAGTCAAGTGGGATGAAGGTGCAGAGTAAAAAGTGAGTTGATGTATAGAAAACGGATGTCTATGAAAAATGCTCAGTATCGCTAGTTATCAGAGAAATGCAAATCAAAACTACAATGAGGTATCACCTCATACCAGTCAGAATGGCCATCATTCAAAAGTACATAAATGATAAATGCTGGAGAGGGTATGGAGAAAAGGGAACCCTCCTACACTGTTCGTGGGAATGTGGTTTGGCACAGTCATTATGGAAAACAGTATGGAGATTTCTCAAAAAACTAAAAATAGAGTTACTATATGATCCAGCAATCCCACACTTGAGCATATATCTGGAGGGAACTCTAATTCAAAAAGATACAGGCACCCCAATGTTCATAGCAGCACTATTTACAATTAAGACATGGAAGCAACCTAAATGTCCATCAATAGATGACTGGATAAAGACATTGTGGTATATTTATACAATGGAATACTACTCAGTGAAAAAAAAGAATAAAATAATGCCATTTGCAGCAATATGGATGGACCTAGAGATCATCATTCTAAGTGAAGTAAGCCAGAAAGAGAAAGAAAAATACTATATATCACTCATATGTGGAATCTAAAGAAAAAGAAAAAGAAAAAAAAAGCAAAAAGAGAACACTAATGAACTCATCTACAAAACAGAAATAGACTCGCAGACATAGTAAACAATCTTATGGTTACTGGGGGAAAGAGAGTGTTGAAGGGATAAACTGGGGAGATTGAGACTTGCAAATGATAACTACTATATATAAAAATAGATTTAAAACAAATTTCTTCTGAATAGCACAGGGAACTATATTCAATATCTTGTAATAGTCTTTAATGAAAAAGAATATGAAAATGAATATACGTGTATATATATGCACGACTAGGACATTATGCTGTATACCAGAAACTGACACATTGTAACTGACTATACTTCAATAAAAAACAAACAAAAGAAAACTGATGCCTGCTATTTCTTGTACTCCTATGTTGAGGAACAGCGATCCCTCCTTTGTACCCTGGCATGACCCCTTCACCCTCTTTGCATGCTCACCAAAGCCCTTTCCTACTGCACCAGCTCCTTTCTTAGATTATGGTTACTGATTTATCCTGTGGCCTCTTGCCCCCTGCTGGACGCAGGGCAGGTTGGTTGGCACACATACAAATAAATGTTTGCTGAATAAATAAATTATGGGCAGGGAGCAGAGAGGGCTCTTACGTTTCATACATTGAGAGAAGCTCAAACCTGGGCAGTCAACTAGAATAAACCCCTATCGTGTGAAAAGATACAAAAGCAAATAGACTATGGAGACAATGAGGCACGCAAGGTGTAGCCCTCCCTGAGAGCAAAGCCAGGGATCAGTCTTACAACTCCATTTGGCCACATGGTTGCTGACCAACTGCATAGTGGAATCACAAGTATGCTCATTAAATTTGCAAAAGATCATAAGTAATTGTGGATATTTGTTAGGATACTAAATAGTGGCTTTGTTCATCCTCTGGAAAGCAGGATAAAACTCCACGACCTCAACCAACTAGGGAAATAGACTTATTGAAATCAGCTGAAACTCAATGGGGAAAAGCACATGTCAGTGGGTAGGCGTCACATCTCAGTGGTTGGATCCCTGATCTTGGAACCAGTAGACCTAGGTTTAACCTCACCAGACTGATATCCTTTGACTTACAGAAGAAATAGGGTGAAAGACAATGTCTTCCAGAGACAGTCTGGGGCTCAAAGCATGACTTTGCCACTTGCTAGATGAGCGACGTACAATGATATTACCTCTCTAAGCTTCAGTTTCATCATTTATGAAATGTGGATAATACTATCCATTTTGCAAAGTTATGAGCTGCTAATGTGAAACACCATAAGAGCGCTAGTTAGCCTAGCCTGTGGCAGTAAATGCTTCCCACCATCAGGTCAGCCTCCTGCCCGCCCTACTCCAGGTTTGCGTCAGGACCAAAGACCAACTCCACAGAGGCAGGGCTGGAAAGGATGGGCTAGACAACAAGTGAAGGAAAAAAGACTGCAGATAGAGGGTCAACGTAGACCACAGGCTGATCAGAGCATGCCAAGAGGTTGGTAACCTGGATCAGCCTGGGAACCAGATCTAGGCATTTCTGAGAAGAGAGGGGAAAAGCAGAGTCCACCCAAGGGTGCATCCAATGCTACTGGGAGGATAGGCAAGCACTTGGCAAGGAAAGAATAAGGGGATTCAGATGGAAGATAAAGACTGAGGCGGGACTCCTACACCGGCATCTCATCTGGGACAATTTGATTTATTGGCATATATGAGTGAGAGAGGGAGTGTGTGTGTGTGTTTGTGTGTGTGTGTGCGTGCGTGCGTGCGTGTGTGTGTGTGTGTGTGTGTGTTAGCGGGAGGGGCTAAACAGTCTCTCTGGGGCTTTCCAAGAGAAAGCCTTGTGTAACCACAAGGGACTAAGGGCTACACAAGAGAAAATGGGCTTTGATTAATGTAGGAGAGACTGCAGTTTGACAGAAGGAAGAACTTCCGCCAGAACATAAACTTTGCTCAGGGGGCCTAGTGTGGCCAGGTGAGAAGAGGGAGCCGGGGGTGGGCTTCCAGTGAGGCAGGGGAGAGGAGCTGAGAACAGATGAGGGAGAGGGGCACTCACTCCAGGAGCTTCCCAGCCTCCTTGGAGTTATAGATGTCACAGCGGTGTAGCGGTCCCATGTGGCCCGAGGCCTTGCAGAGTGCTTCGTGGAACTGGAACTGGAGCACTAGGCTGATGAAGTACCTGGGGAGAGGCACGTGGTGTCAGAGCCTGGCCCACATCAGCGGTCACAGCCTGGGCAGGTCCGCCTCGGGCTGGCCCTGGAGTATGGCAAGGGCTCTCCTTCTTCGCCTTCTGGACCAGCAGCTGCCTCCTCTCCCGCCCTCCTCTCAGGGACAGCAGAGATGCTTTCCCATCAGCTCTGCCCTCCCCACAGGATCAGATGCAAAAGCCCAGAGGATTCAGGGCACAGCCCTCAGAGGGTTATGCCATCTGATGGGAGGAGGTGGCTGTGAGTGGACATTTGGATCTAGGGCCTTCCTGGAAGTCCTCAACCTGGCTCCTATGTCTCCAACCCCCAACTCCCATGGGCGGTTCTGCTGGCGGGGCCCAGGCCTTTACCGTATGTAGGGCAGGCTGGCAGAGATGTGGAACTTGGCACCTGGATCAAAGTCTTCCTCTGACCGAGCGACAGGAGGGCACAGACCCTGGTACTTCAGCCTGGTGGGGTAAACCGGGGGCTTCATAGTGCCACCTGGTAGGGTTCCCAGAGCCTTTTCCTTTGGAAGCACTTGCACAGCTATCAAAGCGACTTGGCATGTGAAAGACACTTAATGCATATTCACTGATTAAATAAGTGAGTTGAAAACACATGGGATTGGGGATTAGAATTAAATAATAGCAGTAGTTAACATTGACTGAGCACTTCCTCTGTGCTAGGAACCGCGCCTAGCTCTTCACACAGACTCGCTCAACACTGCCCTGGTTCTGGGGACGAGGAGGGAACGAGCTCGGCAAGATCCCTGCTTGCATCCTAATGATGGGGGACGGTTGGAGGCCAGTGAGCAAGGCTGGTTCATCCCATACCAAGTGCCAAGAAGAAGACAGAGCAACATCCCTGTGGGGTAGTACTACTGTTATTCCCATCCTACAGATGAGGAAACTGGGGTTTAGAGATCAGGGAATTGTTATTTAGTAGGACACAGAACAGTCACTGGCAGACCCCAATAACTTTCAAGTTCAAGTCCAGCTTTGCCCCTCTGAGCTGTGTGACTGTGGGAAAGTTACTGACCGTCACTGATCCTTGTTGTAAAATGTTGTCTGTAAAATGGGGATTAAATGACACATCTTTGGGATGAGAAAAAGTCTATGAAAAGGCTCATCATTTCATTGCTGGCCCACTGGAGCCTTGAACCATCCTCCCAGGGAGGTTCCACTCAGTTGACAGGGTCTTATTCAAGCACCAGGGAGCTGCCACCCCTCCTCTGCAACCTCTGGTTTCCATCGCTCAGCTGGTGGCAGGTGTGGCTGAGAGAGGACGGAAAAGGTCCTGTGCAGACATACCAGGTGGCTGGGGTAGGGGGACTGCCCTTGGAGGGGCACAAGGTCAAGACTTTGCCAATCCCACCAGTGGGGCCTGGTCCTGAATTTGTGGCAGGGGTGGGAGGGTGAGAAGGCAAAAGGAGGGCGCCCAGCTCTGCCATGTGACCATGGCCTGATCACACATTCTTCTTCTGTGAATGGCCATGGGTGGTGGTAAAGGTTCAATCCACATAAGGGCCTGGTGCAGAGCTAGCAGGCCCTTCATGGTCACCTGTGGCCAGCCAGCAGCCTTGAGCCGGTCAGTCTGAGGCCAGATGGAGATGGCGAAGCCCTAGCCATGGGCAATTATCCAATCAGTCCTTGTGTGAGCTTCCCACCCCCCCAGGGAACGGGTGGGGACCCTGCCAGGATCTCCAGAGAGGTTGAGGCCTGCTCAATGCTGGTTCTGGATTCACCGTGAGGCCCCCTGACTGCTCGTGCTGGCCTTATACCCTTTAGCAGGAATGCTTTTGTCTAGTGACAACAAACAGCCACCACCACCGTGGGGCTTCCCCACGGCCCCAGGCCCCCAGCAACACACACCCAGCTCTGCCCTCAGAGGATAGGCAGCAGTGCTTTTCAGGTGGTATCCTTCAGGCTGCCTGGAAAGCCCTGCCCACACTGGGGCTGGGAGTGGTCAGAGAGCCCCGGCAGTTGTCCTCCTCACCTGAGGCTCCACCACTCCTGGTTGTAGACAGCCTTCTGGATGGTGCCATCAAAGACCTTCCAGCGATACAGGTCCACCAGGTAGGCGAAGGGGATGAAGGCGATCTTCTGCAGGGCAATGCCCATCAGGAAATTGACCTCCTCCTCTGGGGAAGGTGGGGCAGTCAGGAGGCAGCTCCTGGTTCCCCCTCCCTTCAGCCTCACCTGGAGAGTCCTAGCTGCAGCCCCAGGCCCGGGTTGCCCTCCTCTGGTCCTCTGGGTCCCCCCATCACCTGAGTCCTGGTGCTGGTGGCTGAGCAGTCCTCGGTTAAGAAGGTACTTGTGGGAGGAGGCCGAGAGGGTGACCACCGACCCCACAGCTTCTTCGAAGGCTGGGTTGGCACCTTTGCGGAAGATTACGGAGAGGTTCTTGTACTGCAGGAAGTACTGGATATGGCCCATCTGGTGGAAGATGGAGAGCAGGTCTTCTATGGTCACCTCGGTGCACTTCTTTATCCTAGGGTTAAAAGGCAGGGGTCAAGGAGCATGGGGATACCCTGGGAGAAGGAGAGATTTCTCCATTCGGGCTTTGTTAAGGGACTGGGGTGACTGGGCTGGAGACCAACAGGGCCTTTACTCCAAGCCCCAGGTCCAAGCAGTGGCCAAGCCCTTTGCTCTCACACCCACCTCACCCATGTTGCCGGCTCACACCGCCTCCTCAGACGGGCAGCCGGGTGCGGAGCAGAAGGAGCAGAGGGAGGGGCGGGGTGATGCCGGTCGCAGGGTAAAGCACCTGAAGTCCTTGCCGTTGTAGAAGTCCCAGGAGGACGCGTGGCACTCCACCTCCCGCCCGTCCGTTGGCCTTTCCATCATGGAATTTTTCCAGAACTCAGGAGGGGTGGAAAGCAGCCCCAGGGAGGTGAAGAATTTTTCAGCCTCTTGGAACATTTTCTCGGGCTTCCAGTGCTGTGGGGAAGAGGGAGCGTGTGGGGCTGCCCAGGGCTGCGGAGTGCGCGGGGCGGAGGGGGCTGAGCACTGACCTGGCCTTTCATGATCTTTGTGATGTCCTCAGGGGGCTTCTCTGGGAAAGGGAGGACCAGGTCTAAGATGTTGACCCAGGACTGAGCCCACATATTCCCTGGAAGGAGAACGGAGGGGGTTAAGAGAAGGCGGGACGCCATCTCTCCTCTCGCTGTGTGCCCGCTTGGAGGCCTCCTCCGCCCGCTCCACCTCTGCCACCTGCTGGGGTTTTACCCAGGACGTGGGCAGGGATGGGCCCCCTCAGGTCGATGAGCTCGGGCCCGTAGAAGCGGTGCAGGGCCCGGCGCACGTAGGAGTGTAGGTTCAGGTAGAGCGGCTGCAGCTCCTGGTAGAGCTTCTCCAGGTCTTCCTCCAGCATGTTGGACTCATATGTGGACCGCCACAAGGCCCCCATGTCTTTGTAACCTGGCACAGGACAGGGGCTCAGAGGCACTCACCACCCATCCTTCAGCCTGGCCTGGCCAGCAGGAGACCCAGACACCTTCTGGGAAAGCCACTTGACCCCCTATCCTTGGGGTCTTCATCTGCCAAATAGGAGATGGGCCACTGTCCACACTGGATGATATTGAGGTGCAAAAGCATTAAGCAAAGTGCATACTGTGCACTCCACCCCCTGGCTAAGGCCCTGTTCCTCTCTCAGCCACCTCGAGCCCCACCCACCCCGGCCCTGGGCCTCAGATCCTCCCAAACCCTGGCCCCCCCCACCATGGTGGAGCCTGGGGTGCTCTTTTCTTCTTGCCTGGCTGCTCCCAACATCCAGGCCATGGATAAATGGCAGAGAGGTTCTCTGACCACTTCTCTGAAGCAGGTCTCCCCTACTCTCTCTCTTAGCAGCCCCTTCCTTCTCAGCATTCATCCTGAGTGGTAACTGGAGGCGTGTGTCTGTCTCCCAGAGGACTGTGAACCCTAGGAGGGTGAGCGCCTTCTCTGTCTGTTCACCTGTGTATCCTCAGAGCCGCCCCCTACCCCGGCACTGGCACATAGTAGGTGCTCATCACTGTTTATGCAACAACACAATAAATAAGCCACATTTGCCCTCCCCAGGGGCAGGGCTCAAGGCTCCCATCTCCAGGTCCGACCACTGCCCTTCCCCTCTGCAGAATCTGCCTCGCCCTTCCCAGGCATTGCAGTGTGCAGTCCGCCGGGGCTGGGCTGGCTGGCAGGGGTGGGTCAAAGGGCCTCACCGTTGAGCTTTGCGGCCTTGTTGCTGAGCTGCACATAGCGCTCAAAGGTGGTGCGGAGCTGGCGACCAACAGCATCCCTCCAGCCCTGCCAGGCCCACAGCAACTCCTTTTGGTCCCGGGAGGTGGCCATGACTTCTTCGAGGTCTGTGTCCAGAAAAGGAACCAAGGTGGGACCCTACTCAGACCTGCCTTCTGCCCTTACCCGCCCGAGGCAGCCCCTCACCCACCCTGTCCCCACCAACAAATGCAGTTGGGGCAGGGAGGAGGTTGGGAGTTTGGGAGGCTCCTGGAAGGAGACTCAGGTTGGGGAGGGGTGGCCTCGGGCACTCACCGGGCTCCAGGGACAGGCAGGGCCCTTCATTCAGGCACACCTGGCCCATGCTGTATATGGTCTCCATGTAGGCCAGAATCTGGTTGTACTGGGGGAACAGGTGTCACCTACGGTAGGCCCGTGACTGTGGGCCCACCCCCAGAGCTAGCCCTACCAGCCTGGAGTGGGCAGGCCTGGCTGAGGCAACTTCCCACCAGCCTCTGCTTCCCTCCTCCCCGAGAGGAAGCTCTGCCCCTGCCCACCAACCTCCTTCCTGCCCCAGACACTATGGCTCCCCACCCAGCAGCCCTCCAACCCCCAGGGTAAGGAGCATGTGCCTGGAGACCTGGGGGCTCCGGCCGTCACCTCCTGGAGCTTGTCCTTGGGCAGGGCCGCCTTGCCTATGTTCTGCAGGTTACTCAGCATGCGCTTCACGTCCGGGTCTTGGAACGTGGCGATGTTAAACAGGCGGGCCTGGGTGCCAAAGTACAGTGTGTGCTGGGACCTCTCCATGTCCTTGTGCAGCTGGAAGTAGGGTCACAGTATTTGTTGCCGAAGGTTGGAGGAAGGGGTAAAGATCCTACGTTGAACCCCAAGGCCACAGATCCCCAATCTCCTTCAAAAGCCCGTATCATCGAAAATTTGCTGAGAGGGAGAAGGGAGGAGCCCAGTCCCTAAAAGCGAGGAGGGGATATTTACAAGGGGAAAGAAGCAAGCGCTCCTTGACCAGTGAGCGTTTAGAGCTACCAAGAGGCCTGGAGCTCGCAGCCTGTTCTAACATGTACTTTGAGGCTTCCCTCTTTCCTCTGGCTCTGGACAGGGGGCAGAAGGTGTGGTTCCCCCAGCTCCCCACCAAGACCCCTGAGAAGAGCAAGGGGGGAAGGGGCTGGGGTGGAAGTGGTACCACACCATCTCCTCTCGATTTTTCTTGGTGATGTTGGTGACATAGTTCCAGGTGGCTTCCATGAACTGGTTCCAGACAACCTGTGCTGTATGCTCGTAAAACTGCAGGAAGGTCTTTGCCACGGTCTCATCGTAGAGCTTGTCTGCAGAGAAGCAGATGGGCATTGTGCTGTCCTGGGAGGGGCCTACCCGTGCCTGGTCCCCTTGTCTGATCCCATACTCCTTGGGGTCCCAGCCCCACCTGAATCCTGATCACCCTTGGTCCTGACCCATGGCAAGAGCTGCCCATAACAGAAGAGCACAAGTAGGCAAGATCCAGGCAAGTCCATCTTGTGCCCATGACCAAGAGAACAGCAGAGGTGGGTAAGGCTATGGGCCAATCATGATCCAGCTCCATATTGTGACATCAGGGTCTAAAGGGACAGCCATGGAATGTCAGAACTGCAAAGCTCCAACCCACCTTCTGGTCCATCTATTCCCATTTTACAGGTGAGAAGATTGAGGTCCAGAATGGTCAAGCCATACAACCTGGTTCACACAGCTAGTCAGTGGCAGAGCCAAGAGGAGAACTAGGGTTCTTGACTTCTAGGCCAGAGCTAGTCCCACTTTACTTGGTCACTTCTCCCTGGCATTGGAGCCATCCTTGGGCCTTGGCCAGGGATTAATGAGCCGCCTCCCTCCAGAGGCTGGAATCACCTCTTAACAGGTGAGTGGGGAGACGGAAGAATGGATGGGTGGATGAATGGAAGTGACATCTCTGGGTCTCTGGAGTCTGGAAGCACAGTTATCTCTCCATGTTCTTCTGACTTGACTTCCTGTGTTCACATTTTTGGCCTTTTTCTCTCTCATGGGATATGTGATCACCCTTGGGCTGTACAGGACCCTTCCTCCCTTCCCCTGTCCTTACACCTGTTTCTGCAGGGACAGTCTGGTACTATGAGTTTGTAGTCAGGAAGAGGCACCAAAGGTAGAGGGCTGTGAGGGATGTAGGGGTGTGGCTGGCACCTTCTATTTAGGGTGCATGTCCTGAGCCTGGTTTGATCACCACCTGGCAGGACCCCAGCTCTCTGTGGCCCTTGCTGACTCCCCAGTAGCCTGACACCTATAGTCTTCATTTTCTTTGGGTAAATACCCAGAAGTTGAATTGCTGGATCATATGGCAGTTCTATTTTTAACTTTTTGAGGGACCTCCATACCGTTTTCCAAGTGGCTGTACCAATTTCCCTTCCCACCAACAGTGCACAAGACTTCCCTTTTCTCCTCATCCTCACCAACACTTGTTACTTCTTGTCTTTTTGATAATAGCCATTCTAACAGGTGTGAGGTGATTTCTCTTTGTTTTTTTTTAAACACTTTTTTTATTGCGTTATAGTCATCTACAATATTGAACTCCCAGTCTGTCCCTTCCCATCCTCCTCCCCCTTGGCAACCACAAGTTTGTATTCTGTGTCTGCATTGTGATTTTGATTTGTGTTTCCTTGATGATTAGTGATGTTGAGCACCTTTTCATGTACCTGTGGGTCACCTGTATGTCTTCTTTGGAAAAGTATCTGCTCAGATCCTTGCCTATTTTTTAATCAAATTGTTCTGCTGTTGTTATTGAGTTGAATGAATCCTTTATATATGTTGAATATTCAACCCTTTATCAGATATATGATTTGAAAATATTTTCTCCAAGCCTGTGGGCTGCCTCTTCATTTTGTTGATGGCTTCTTTTGCTGTGCATAAGCTTTTTAGTTTGATATGGATCCACTTGTTGATTTTCGTTTTTGTTGCCTTTGCTTTTGGAGTCAAATCCAAAAAAAAATTTTTGCCAAGACTGATGTCTAGGAGTTTACCCTCTATATTTTCTTTTATGGTTTCAGGCCTTACATTCAAGTCTTTTTTTTTAAAGTTAACAACTTTTATTGTAATTCACATATTTCATAGAAAAAGGAATGCGGCATCAGATCAGGTTGTATGAAAAATACTAAATGCAGGTTTGTCCACGTGGCTCTGTTTACATCTGGGACAGGGTCTCCCCAACATCAGGTGCAGCAGCTGCACTTGTCAGACGCCCCTTTGCAGATGTAGCCCTGGGCACACTTGGCACAGCCCACAGGGCAGCAGGAGCAGCAGCTCTTCTTGCAGGAGGTGCAGCTGCAGTGTTTGCATGTGCAGGAGCCAGCACAGCTGCAGGAGCTGCCAGTGGAGCAGGAGCAGTTGGGGTCCATTTGGTACGAGGTGAGACCAGAGGTCCAAAGAAAGTTGCGAAGAGGATCTAGTTGTCTGGTGGTAGGCATGTTGGTGCCCAAGACCTGCATGCTCCCTTTACAGCCAAAGGACATTCAAGTCTTTAATTTATTTTGAGTTGATTTTTGTCCAGTTTCATTGTTTTGCATGTGGCTGTCCAGCTTTCCCAATACCATTTGTTGAAGACATTATATTTTCTCTATTGTATGTTTTTGAATTTTGTCATAAATATATTGACCATATATGTGTGGGTTTATTTCTGGGCTCTCTATTCTGTTCCATTGGTCTATATGTCTGTTTTTATGCCAATATCATACTGTTTTGATTACTATAACTTTGTAATATAGTTTGAAATCAGGAAGTTGAAATGCCTCTAGCTTTGTTCTTCTTTCTCAAGATCATTTTGGCTATTTGGGATTAAAACATAGTATTCTTAAAAATGCAAAATACAGAGCTGAGATGGAAAGCAAGAAAAGGGATGCTTCAGATGCTGGGGAGACAACAAGGGTTCATGCAGCAGTAAGTGGAGGCCCATGCAGGAAATCAGAGTGCATCCACACCCAAAGGGCTGCAGCATTGGTGCCTGTATGGTGGTGGCTGGTCACAGTGGCAGTAATGCCTCCATCAAGGGAGCCAACAGATGGCTTCCTTTTTAAAGGGGACTTGCAAGAAGCAACCATGAAACCGACCCTGGGGACACTTCACAACCTATTGTGTGCATGGGAAGGGTCCCCCTGCGGAAAGCTGTTCCCACTGAAGATGGCTCATAGGTCAAGATTACCAAATACAAGAGAAAGTCCCACGCCATCAGTGTCAATAATGACCACCAGTCCCCACTAAGACCCTTAGAGGGCTTTCAGGATAAGAATCCTCACAACCAACCCATGAGGTAGGTACTGTGATCAGCACTTCCAACTCACAGATGAGGAAACAGAGGCACAAAGAGGCTGAGCAACTTGCTCATAGTCAGTCACATAGCTAGCAAATAGTGGAGGGGGGTCTCAAATCCACGTTTTGCCTCGCAGAGTCTGTGCTAAACTACAGACACATGCATGGATAGACCACACCTGAGGAAGGACAGCTATTAAAGCAATCTGAAAGGGACTTGAAACACGGGGCTCAACAACATCTACAAAAACTAACTCAAAATGGATTACAGACCTAAACAGAAGAACTCAGACTATAAAACTCTTTGGAGAAATCATAGGGGGGAAGCTTCACGCCATTGGATCTGGCAATGATATCTTGGATATGATACAAAAGCACAGGCAAAGAAAAAATCAGACAAATTGGACTTCATTAAAATGAAAAGCATCATCATCAAAGGACTCTAACAACAGAATAAAAAGGCAACCCACAGAGTGGGAGTAAATATTTGCAAATCATACATCTCATAAGTGATTAATATCCAGAATATATAAAGAGCACCCCAAACTCAACAATGAAAAGATAACCCAAGTCAAATATGGGCAAAAGACTTGAATAGACATCTCTCTGAAGATGATATATAAATGGATAATAAGTACTCGAAAAGGGGCTAAACATGACTAATCATCAGAGAAATACAAATCAAAACCATGAGATTCCACAAGGATGGCTATTATTCAAAAACAAAAACAAAAACAGAAAAGATCAAGTGATGGCCAATGTGCACAGAAATTGGAACCCTTGTCATTGCTGATGGGACTATAAAATGGTGCAGCCACTGTGGAAGATAGTATAGAGTTATGGTAAGATCTAGCAATTTCAGTTTGGGGGTGTATACCCAAAAGAAGAGAAAGCAGGGACTCAAAGTGATGGTGATGGCTGCAAAACTGAATGTACTCAATGCCACTGAACTGCACATTTAAAAGTCGTGAAAATGGGAAATGTTATGCTATGCATGTTTTACAACAAGTAAAAAAGTTCAGTTCTCTCAAGTGATAAGGAAAAGAATCCGTGAAGCAAGAATGGGCTTTTGTGAAAACACAGTTTTGAAAGAAATCGAGATGCAAAGATGAAGGATACAATTTTTAAATCGGAAAAATTGTCATCTCAATGCACAGGCTAAGCAGTGGGCTGGAACACAGGAGAACAGGGGCCTGAGAAGTCACAGCTGGGGAAATGGCTTGGAGCACAGGACAGAAGAGGAGATGAGAAACAGGAGTAGGAATTAGGAGTCCAGGAGGGGTCTGGCAGGTGTCCCGATGAGGAGATGGAAATGGGTGAGGAGATGATGGCTGAGTGTCTCCAAAACTGAAGAAAGCTGAGTCCCCAAGGTGATCGAGCTCATTGCACTCCCAGGAAGAAAGCGTTGAATGGTGCAGGGAGGAATCACCAGAGAGCTTGATCTGGCTGTCAGGGAAATGCCCTGGATGACTTTCTCCATCGCTCTAGTGAGGGGCTGATCTCAGCCTGCCCTCCCAGCTCTCAGGGTCCAAGACTCCAGGGTGTGTTTGGAGTCAGATATGAAACCATCTTTATCAGGAGATGATGCATTCATTATAAAGAGAGGATATGATGGACTAGGAATTTCCTTATGATCTCGCTCAATCAACTGCAGCCATCATGACAGGGTTGATAAGAACCATTTCACACGTGTGAAGCACAGAGGCTCAGAAAATGGAAGTTAATCACTCAAGGTCATGTAGGTGCTAAGTGCAGAGGTGGGATCTGACTCAGATCAAATCCAAAGCCACTGGATTCATTCATTAGAGCTACAGGGCAGCTGCAGGCAGAGTGGGGAGATCAGAGAAACTGTCTAGAACCACCATCACCAATAGCCTGCGTAGGTCAGAGCTGTTCACCTGGAGTAACAGGCATCGGCAGGTGCAGCTCAGGGAGGAGGTGCTCAGCCCTCAGGTCACTGGTAGAAAATGCCAGAATGGCCTCTCTTCCTGTTGTTACCACTTCCTCTTCCTCGGCCACCTCCCAGGTAGACACGGCCTCTCCCTGCTCATCCAAAGAGGCAGAAACAGGAGTCTGAACAACTTTAATATTTCACAAGGCTGAGTGGATAAGGCTGTTTAGTGTTCTCTGCAGCGCAGATCTTTGGTGTTGGATGCTGGTGCCCTCACGCTGACCACAAGCTCTGACGGGCAACATGAACCTCTGCCATTCATGAAGACAGGAAAGGGGGTGATGTGACAATAACCTTGTATGGCAAAGAGCTTTTGAAACATCAGGCTGGGGAATGGGGTGATTAAAGAAGTCTTCGGTGGAAGAGAAGGCTTGGAACTACTTAGAGGCTATGTTTATAAATTCCATTGTCCTAAGTAATCATAAACTTTCACCCTCTTGCATATCCAAAATACCTCAACTCCGCATCCTGCCGCATGCATAGGCCTGTACAACCAGGTCTATGCCAGCACACACACATACAGACACAAACCCAGACACACAAACACAGACACACGCACAGACACACACACAAACCCAGACACACATACAGTGACAGCTGGAGAATGGGGGGCAAGGGCTGTGGACTAAAGGATATTGGGTGACAGATATTAGGGGCTGAGCCTGGCTGGGGCCAAGGCATCACAAAATCGGGAAGAGGCTCAAGGCCGAGGGTCCTCACTAGGGGGCCCGGGTTGGCAGTGGAAGCCTCTGGCCCCGGAAGATTGACCAACTACCATTTGGCCAGGTCCTAGGTTTGGCACTTAAATACCTGAAAAGTAGGTCTAGTCATGTTAACTGGAGAAAGGATACACAACTGTAAATGCAGTGTGATCCCATTTAAAATGTGTGCTGGGAAAAAAAGGCTGGAAAAGTACATACCAAATGTCAGCATGCTTATCTCTTGGTATGGATATAAAGGGCTCTTATTTTCTTTATCGTTTTCTGTATTTTCTAAAATAAATATGTAGATTAAAGGTTTTAAAATGGCCCTCAAAATGATTCTCCCTCAAACCCCTGCTAGCCTTCCGAGGGAAGGCTCAGGGTGAGGGTCTGTGCAGGGGGTCGGGCAGGGGTGGCCTCTGGTGGGTAATCCCTGCACGGGCGGCGTCGGCTACTGCTGGGCTCCAGCATTTAGGGCCCCTGCCCAGCTGGGGCAAAGGGACCTGGCCCCGGGCCCCACAGGCAATACTCAAGTGGCTCTGCCCACACGCACAAGTGGACATGGAGCCCATGCAGGCAAGCACTTGAGGTGACCCCGGGGCCCTTTCTGCACCCTCTGCATGTCAGGCACTGTCCCCAGGGAACCAGAGGACAGCCAGGAGCCTTCCATCTGGGGGACTTGGCCATTTATGGGAACAGCTGGGGCAGGGCTCCAGAAGCCTCGGATGTCTGCTCCCTCTTCGCTGCCCAGAGCCCTCCTGGGTTGGTGCCCAGGCCTGGCAGGGGCTGCGTGCCACGGCAGGACATGGGCCAGCTGTGGGCTGGAGGGACGACAGGTGTCGGCACGGGGTGGTGCTATGGCCAGAGCTCTGGGCCATTTTCCAGCCTCTTCCTGGAGGAGGAGGAAGACTCCCCAATGAAGTGACCCACTTGACTGGCTGGAGGTGGGAGGGCATCCCTGTCCCTGTCCCTGGCTTCCCCTTGAGGGACACAGACGCTGATGGGGAGGGCAGGACCTTTAATTGTATTCACAGAGAGATGGGGAGGGGGCTCCATGTTAGGTGGCCTGGTCCCTAGGGACCAGGGTGCAGGGGCCACAATGTTTGTGGTCTGGAGGAGGGGAGGAGGGGGAGGATAGGCGGGGCAGGAGGAGGGGGAGGAGGGGGAGGAGGATGGGCTGGGGTGAGTGGTGAGAGGAGCCCAGTGTCCCGGGCCCACCCCCAGCCCCCTCCCGGTCTCTCGGAGGCATGTTCCCCGGCAGGCCTGGCGCAGCCTGCTCATCTCAGGAGTGTCTCAGCTCTACCTCAGAGCCAAACTGGGGCCCACGGTGGGGCTGGCGCAGGCTGTGGTAGCGGACGCTGAAGAGCCGCTGGGTGAGGCCCAAGGTGGCCACCAACAGGGTGACACCCAGGAAAAGCAGCACCCACTGGCCCACGCGGGCCTGCTGCTCCTCCAGGTTCAGGCCCAGGAAGTTGACGCGGCCAGTGCCCAGGAGGGAGCCTTCCAAGCGAGCTGGGCCGGGGAGGAAGGAGAGCAAGGTGGTGGGTGGTGCTGGGGGCCCTAGGCTGGCTTCCCAACCCCTGTTCCGAGGTCAGATTCCAGCCTGGCTGAACTTGGGAAGGGTCCCATCCCTGAGTGAGCCCCTGGGGCCAGCCTAGGACTGAGGTGGGGTGGATGGTGGTACCAGAGTTTGGCGTCCAGTTGTACTGAGGCCAGCCCAGCGTCTCCCCGTGCCGCCCATTCTCAGTCTGGAGCCAGTCCAGCAGTGGCTTGAAGTAGGTCATTATGGCAGAGGCGGACATGTTGGGCTGGCCTGTGATCAGCTTCATGGCTTCCGGCCATGGCTGACTGAAGCCCAGCTTCATGGCATCCCTAGGGTAGTAGAAGAGAAGGGAAACAGAGTCAGAAGGACAGGTTGGGGGGCTTAGTGCCCCTCCTACCCCAGCCTAGCACCCGCACTTTATGCCTTGTCTCCCAGCTCCCACTTCTCTTTGGATTGAGAGGGCCTGGGCCGGTCTAGGGTGGTCACAGGGAGGGGCGGCCCAGGCCCAGAGGGCTCTAGTTCCCTACTAGAGAGGGCAGCCCAGTGCCAGAATGACAGGTGTTCCCAGAAGAGCCCCACTGGGCTCCTCGAGGCTGAGCGAAGTAGGTCAAAGGGTGAATGACATTCAGGAGGTGGCCAGGGAAGACTCACGCCAGGCGCTTCCCGGCCTCCTTGGACTGGTAGATGTCACACTTGTGCAGGGGGCCCTGGTGGCCCGCCGCCTGGCACAGCGCCTCGTGGAACTGGAACTGGATGATGAAGCTGATGAAGTATCTGCAGTGGGGCAGGTGGGCCTGAAGCGGGTGGTGGAGGGGCTGCGCCACCGAGTCCCACCCACCCTGCCTCTCGCTGCTGTCAGGGTATCAGGGTGAGACCACCCTGGCCTGCAGAGTCATCCAGGCCCCCTGCCACGCCTTCCACCCGCGAGACTGCCTGCACATCTTGGGAGGGCCTGCTCTGAGCAGCTCTGGGGATCCCTTATGGGAGAGGAGGGGCAGAGGCAGAGCCCTTCAAAGATCTGGCAAGCTGCTCTGGAGCCAGTGAGGTCTGCTTCCCTGCGATACATGCAAAGAGAGGCCAGGCGTTGCCCAAAGGGACGCGTTTCTGACAGGCAGAGAAGCCAGCCCGAATGACCTCCTTTATCCCAAAGCAGCAGGAATTCCCTGGTAGAAGCCTGCCACTCAAGGCTGGAGCAGCCTTTCCAAGTCTGGAGAGGTTTGCATGTCCTAAACTGGCGGTGCAGGTCTCCCGCCTTTAGTGCTGGGCACAAGCCGTGTGCCGCTGACTTTCCTGGCATTTCCCAAAAGTGCTTTGCCAAGGCTGCTGGCCAGAATTTGGAATGTGTCTCCTTCGCCCACCCCAGCCTAAGGAATTATCTGTGCTAAGCTCAGAAGCTAACCATCACGTGGGTCTGGCTTCTGTATGAGAGTGATTGCCAGCTTGGAAGCCCAGACACCTGCTGAGAAGGCGGATGGAGGCCTTCCCTGTGGGTCACCCTGGCGCACTGGCCAGGTCAGGCCTGCGCTGAGGTGCCCTTGAGTCTCCTTGGCTCCCTGCCCACTGCTGCTCCCTGAAGCATCTGAGCAGCCTCTCTCCCCATACTGGACTTGGAGACATAGTTTGCCCACCCCACACCTATTTATTAGGTCTTGACGGTGGGAGGACATCGTGCCAGGTGCTGGGGAGGAAGGCTGGGCACAGTGGGCATGAGCCCCCATCACTGGACTCTGGGGGACACAAGGGGTCAGGGCTAGGGCAGCCACAGCCCTCCTGGCAGCCCTCACTGCCTTCTGCACTTCACTCCCGGGCAGCCTGGGTTACCTGCAGCCCAGGGGCACCCAGCGCTCTACCCTGCAGTCTCCCCAGACCCCGTCCTCCTGGGAGGGCTCCGGATCCTACAGTTACCCTCCCAGGCCTCAGCAAGTGCTCTCCTGCAGTACGTGGAGGGAATGGGGCTGCACTGGGCACATTCATGCTATGGCTGCATCACTCACGGCGCTGGTGTGTTTCCGAGTTCCGTTTAAGAGAATATTTAATAAGCTGAGCTACGGCCACCAGTTCCCAAGCATGCTGTGTGTTAGCCAGTATGCTAAGAAGTTAACTCTGGCAATGATTCCATGAAATGGGATTTCGACAGGTGAGGAGCATACTAAGGGGAACGAGGAACTTCCTCAAGGAAACAGAGTTCTGGAGACGAGATTTGAACCCAGTTCTGTCTGAGCACAAGCCTCTGACCCCACGCCCCTAACAATACAGCCTCCCAGGCTAGTTGGGTCTCTAATCTTAGTTTCAGTGTATAGAAGGTATTCCAGTAACAACTTAGATTTTATCACAGGAGATACAATATATAGTAAAGGAGTCATAGTCTTGTTTAAAAAAATCAACAAACAGTGCTCAGGTCATGATCTAGCCATGGGTCATGGTTAATGTTCACTAACCAAGGTCTTGTAACCATTATTCAGCCATAGTGGAGTTTCTGTTTTCAACTGTCTGGAGGGTGGAGGCTCTCGTCAAATTAAAAGAGTGAAACCAGGGTCAGCCTTGGTGACAGGTGAGTGGCCCAGGCACAGCTCGCCATGCAGCTGTGCGCCCAACAGGGCAGTGAGGAGAGTCTGCACACTTAGCTGAGGTGCTGTCCCTCACCCGCCCTCCTCCCTTTCCTGTTACCTGATGTAAGGCACACTTGAAGGAATGTGGAACTTGGCCCCTGGGTCAAAGTCACCTTGAGACCTGGCCACTGGTGGACAGAGGCCCTGGTATTTCAGCCTGTCGAGGAGGAAGATACATTGGAGGGAAGGTTTGGGGCGAATTGAGCCAGGGAGAGGTGGCATTTTTGCCTGGAAGGACAGTCCCGGCACCTGGGGCTGCACAGGGTGCAACGTCACCCTATGTCCCCCACCACTGGCACACGCACGCACATCTGGATGCCGCATACACCGACCCCGTTACCATGGGCGCACAGACACAGGCATCTGCACACACACCCACAGCCGCATTCTAGAACCTGAGACTCCACCACTCCTGGTTGTAGTTCTCCTTGGTGATGCTTCTGTCAAACACCCTCCAGCGCCACTGGTCAACGAGGTAGCTGAAGGGGACAAAGGCGATCTTGTCGAGCGCCATCTTCATCAGAAAGTTGATGTCCTCCTCTGCCAAGGGAAGGGAGCCCCGTCACCAGATCTAGCCTGCCTCCTGCCACAGCCGTGCTGGGTGTGCGAGGGGAGGGGAGGAGCGGTCTGTATCTCTTTGGGTCTTATGACCTGCCTCTTGGGATGGTCTGTGGGTTGCATCCTTCCAGCTCACCCTGCTGGTGGCCCCCCTAGTCCCCACTGCTCTGTTCCCACCTCTGCCCATGGGCCATGAAGGCTCGCCTCTCCCCCTCCCAAGCTCACTGCCCTGTCTTGGCCGCTCTGCCCACCAGGGTCTCCTGTTCCTCTCTCACCGTAGCCGCCATCCTCACTACTCAGCAGGTTGATGTTGTACAGGTGTTTGGGGGTAGTCACTGAGAGGGCCAGCACGTCCCCAATGGCCTCATGAAAGCCTGGGTTGGCCCCCTCGCGGAAGGTCACAGGCAGGTCCTTGTACTGCATGAAGTACTGTATGTGGCCCATTTCGTGGTGGGCCACCACCAGGTCATCCATGTTGACAGAAGTGCACTGCTTGATCCTGGGATACACAGGGGGTAGGGAGAGGATGTGGAAGGGGGCAGTGAGGAGCCCTGGGGCAAAGGGACCTGCTGTCATTACTGTATACTGAGCAGACCCCCATGACTGCTAGATGCATGGAACACAACATTCCATAAGAAGGAAAACCAAAAGGAGAAATGGAGTGAGCCTGAGAAATGGGGAATCCAGGCGTTGGAAGCCCCTGAAGCATGGTCCTTCAGGCCACTCCTCTGCCTCTGCTTCCCTGAGCAAGTCCAGCCCACACCACCGTGTTGCCTTCTGACCGTGCTCGTGCTCTACAGGCGCGGGGCGCCCAGTCACGGCCAGCACAGGGCTTTCTAGGGCGTGGGTCCTGGGCTTCTATATTACACACGTTGTCTTCCCAAAACTTGGGCTTCCTGAAGGAAATGACCATGTCCGAGCTTTTCTGCATCCCACGTACCCGATGCCAGCATGCGTGTTCACCCCAGGATTTCTCATGGCCGGGACTGAAATGGCATCTGGAGAGCTGTCCAGACCAGAAGCTTCCACCTCCCGCTCCATCTTGCCTTGTTCTCTTTTGGGAGCCCATGAAAATTTCCCCTGGATCTAACCAGAGCTCTTCAGCTCAGCTGACCCCATTTCCCTGTCATTCTAGAAGGTTGGGGTCTGTCCGCCTTCTCCTATGACTCTCCATACAAGGGAGGATTCCTGAAAGAGTGCCCACCCCCTTGGTTCTGTACAGGCCCAGCCCCACAGCTGCAGCCCTCCTGCCTTTGAAGGAAGCTCCTGAGGCCAGGCGAGCCAGCGGACCCTGTCTGCTTCATTCCAGGATCTCTGTGTCCACCCTTCTCATAAGACACACTAACTCAGCCGTGGCAGATCATTTCTGCCACTTCTCCCAAGAGCTGGGGTCTTCTTCCCCTTCTCTTGAATCTAGTTTGGACTTGTGGCTTGTTTTAGCCAACAAAATGTGGCAGAAGTGACTCTGTGCCAGTTTCAGATTTAGTCTTTAAGAGGTCTGGCTGCTTCTGCCTCTGCTCTGCGATGCTAGCTGCCAGGTAAGAAGTCTGACCCCCTCAGGCTGCCAGACTGTGAGGAGGTCCAAGCTAGCCTGGAGAGAGATGTCCCACCAGCTCCCAGCTGCTCCAGCCATCCCAGCCCGGCACCCAGCACATGAACAAAGAAGCCAGCACTCCCATCCCAGCATCTGCCACGTGAAGGAAAGCTGAGGAATCCAGCCAAGAGCCGGAACCACAACCCCAGACAGACGACCCCACTGAGTCATCCCAGCCATCTCCAGCCATCATAGCTACCCCAGCAGAAGTTTCCACTGTTGCAGAGCAGGACAAGCCATTTCCACTGTGCATTGCCTAGATTCCTGCCTCATAGAATCATGAGCATAATTAAATGGTCGTTTTATACCATTAAGTTTTGGGCTCGTTTGTTATGCAGCAATAGGTACCTAAAACACTGTCTTCCACCGAAGACAGCTTCTGAGCCTCTGTAAGTGGTGAGAGCAGATCTGTGCGAAGCCCCCACATTCCCATGTGTCTCCCTGTCAAGGCACACACACTCAGGGAGAAGGCCAGCTGTATGCAGGGGCCGCCCCAGAGGGAGGGAAGGCAGGGTAGCGCACACAGGGCTCACACCCAGGGGGGACCTTGAACGCTGACCATCTGACTGAGCTGACAGGTTGGTCAGTTGAGGAGACCCTTGTGTCATGGATGTGGTTCCCCCGGCACAAACCACTAGCCAAGCTGTGGCCAGGCCCAACTCTCTTGTCCCTCTGCACCTGCGGTTCTGCTCATGTTCTGGCTGAGGAGACGGCAGTGGAGCCTCTGCTTGGCTCGTGTCCTTGCCCTCTGGGCTCAGGATCAGGTCCCCCAGCTGCAGCCTGGACACACCTGAAGTCCTTGCCATTGAAGAAGTCCCAGGCAGAGGCGTGGCACACCACCTCCCGCCCATCAGTTGGCTTCTCCAGCATCGACTTGTTCCAGAACTCGGGGGGCACAGGCAGCAGCCCCAGGGAGGTGAAGAAATTGTCTGCTTCCTTAAATATCCTTTGGGGTGTCCAGCCCTGCAAGCAGAGGGAACGCTGCCAAAGCTGAGGACGACAGGGACAGACTGTGCTGCAGTCGGGGAGGGGACTTGGGGAGGGCCAAGCTGGAAGGAACTCCTGTATCCCACCTGGGCAGCATCCCCCACCCCAGCCATCCCGTGTCCTGTGGCCGCCCGAGGAGCAGGATTGCAAGGAGGGGCAGGTGCAGACCTGCTTTATCATGGCCTCCGTGACATCCATCCTGGGGGCTGAGGGGAAGGGTACCACCAAGTCATAGATGTTGGACCAGCTCTGTGCCCACATGTTCCCTGGAGGTGAGGAGGGGAAGAGATGGCGGAGAGGTAAGATATGATGTCTTAGGCTCAGCAACATTATGCAGGAAGAAGGAACTGGATCCCAGTTCTGCTGATCGTAATGGTGTCTCTTGACACCAATCTACTGTTTGCAAACTGTGCTTGGCATTTGACATATTTCATTTTCAGTCTGCACATCCAGTCCAAGAGGCCATCACTGTCCTGGCTCATGGATGAGGACCTTGCTGTCCCTGAGCAATGAGGACCAGCAGCGAGGACTAGCAGCTGTGACAAATGTGGAAGCTTCAGGTCCCTGGAACATCTATGCTCACACGGCCACCACTTACTGAGAGTTAAGTAACCCATGCAGGGGCCCACGGCTCCTAAGCAAGAGGGCTGGGGTTTGAAGGAAGGCAGGCTGCCCCCTTACCAGCCACTGCTGTGTTCCCCCATGTCACCTGAGGTCAGTTTATGTGGTCACCTGGCAAGAACCACCCTCCTTGAGGAGAGGTTGATGCCTCTGCATTTAGGGCAAGAGAAAAGTGGAGAAAAGGAGGCTATTCAGAATGGGTGGAAAGTGCAGGGGAAGATCTGGAGAGTCTGTTGTAGGCACAGGAGATGAGGCTTGAGCTGACATCAGGTGGAGTTGACAGTGCAAACCAGTGAGAGTTGGGGTGAATAAGGAGAAAGAGAGAGGGGGTGAGCAAGCCGGGGCCAGCTGCTCCGCTCACCCGGGGCTGAGTTCTGAGCCTCAGCTCCTGGGGCCACCGGGACACACCGCTTCCTGCCCTGGCACCTGTGTTTCTCAGCCGCCGAGCCGATGTCCACACTGATGCTCTTTGGTCTCACCACAGGGGGATGGGGGGTGGCTGCAGGGACCCTCAAGGCTGAGGAGGAGCTAGACCCCAAGCTGGACTAGGGTCTCCCTCATGATTTGTAAATGGTCTGTGGCCCTGTCTGGCCTCTCTGCTCACAGTAAGAAGCCCCCAGGAACATGTTCCCGATGGCCCGAGAGAGACGGGAACCCAGTAGCCTCTACTTCGCCCCAGGCCCTTCCATCCCTTATGGGGAGAACCTCCTGGGGAGGCCTCAGCTCCCACTCATAGCTCCCTCCTGGAGCTGTTCCTGTGGCAGGCATATGAACTTCCCCCACCATCCCATCCCTGGTGACCTGCACGACGAGGATCCAAGGATCCGTAGCAAATGTGCCACCAAACACAAGCAGGGGCCTCTTCTCCCCATGCCCCTCCCCAACCCCACATTCTGGCCCTGGGCAATGTTCCCTCTGGGCTCAAGTCTTCACTCCCCCAGCCTCAAGTGTCACCTGCAAATGCCTCTCAGTCTGCCCTCTGGCCAGCCTGGGCCCACTCTCCCTCCACTTGCTCTCACCCAGCAGATGAGCTGGGATGGGGCCCTCCAGGTTGATGTGCTCAGGCCCGTAGTGGCGGTGCAGGGCCCGGCGCACGTAGGCATGTAGGTTCAGGTAGAGTGGCTGCAGCTGCTGGAAAAGCTGCTCCAGGTCGTGCTCCAGGAACGGCATCTCGTACATAGATCTCCAGGAGTCCCCTCCATCTACATAGCCTGCAGAGGGGACACGGCCAGGCTCTCTGAACACCTGACCATTTCCTGACACCCCTGCCTCCTCCAGGGACCCCCCCCCCAATCTCTCTCAGGTCTCAGAGGACCTCTCTGAGGGCCCTGGTGGGGCTGGGACCAGACAGCCAGTGATACTGGCCAGCAGTGGGTAGGGGTGGGGGGACTCACCATTGAGCCTGGCAGCCTTGTTGGTGAGCTCGACATATCTGGGGAAATGAGGGAGAATGGCCCTCCCCACCTTGTCTCGCCAGCCCTTCCATGCCCACAGCAGTTCTTCATAGTTCCGGGATGTGGCCATCAGATTCGACAGATCTGTGGGGGAAGGGTTGGATGGCTTGAGACCCCAGCTCTCAGCTCACCTCCCACCTACTTCAGAGCTGGAATAAAACTGGCAAGGGACTGCACAGGCAGTAATTGGAGACAGGCTGGTGTCCTTTCCCCAGGGGCTCACAGGGAGCCAGGCCCGGGGCTCGGCGCTGCATGTACGTGATCTCTGGCATCTGCAGGGTTGCAGTAGCCCTGTGAGGTGGGACCTTGTCCCTCTTTCCACAATGGTGGTTTGGTGACATGGCTCCATCCCCCATCCAGGAAGTGGCCAAGCTGGGGCATAAACTAAAGGCCTGAACCCCAGAGCTGCCGCTCCCCACTCGTTCCCCACCCACCTCCTCCCTGGGAGAAATGGCTTGGAGGTCCAAAACCCTAAGTTCTTGTTTAGTCTCCTCCTGACCTCAAAATTAACCTAGGCAAGTCATGAGACCCCTCTTCCCTATCTATAAAACGGGGATAATGCTGGCCTGGGGGCACAAGGCCCCTGAGCAAGGACCATGCCTCCTTCACACTCCGTGTCCCCGCAGGGCACAGGGCAGCTTTCACACATTGTTATTGAATTGATGGGATAAAAGCAGAGCCATGAAGATAAAGTACAGAGATCCATTCCAGCATCCTCAGGGAGCCAGAAATCTTGGGTTTGTGTCCTTCAAAGCCATGGCTGTGTGAATGGCATCCTCGATTACGGATTACACGGAGCTGACGTCCACCTTACAGAGCTCGGATGAGGATGGCGTGAGCTCCAGAGTCAATCCTGCGATCCTGGCAGTGGCTCCCCTTCCTGCCTGGCCTGGCCTGGCCTGAATCCGAGGACACTTGGGGCCCCCACAATTCACTGACTGGTGCTATCCACCTACTTTCTGCAGAGAACATACCTTCAAATTAATTTTGTCTGGGGAAAAAAACACATTTTGAGGATTTTACATCTGTTCTTGCTGATGTGAGTGTTCTTTTTTGTGAGTGTTTCTTATTTTCACTACTGGCACTGATCTGATGGCCTAGCCCCAGGTTAAGGGGCCGCCTGACTGATGAGGGTGCTGAAGACCACCTTCCCTTGAACCCTCTTCTCTGTAACGTGCACATGTGTCCCCTCTCCCCCACTTTGCGTGCCTACCCACATACACAGCGTGCAGGCCAAGCCCTGGCCCAGGAAAGCTGTTCTGCTCTCTTGTTTATTTTCCACTTCCCTTTCTATTTGTCAATTGTTCTGCCATGGGAGTGGGCAGAGGGCCAGGAAGAGACTGTCTCTGGGTGGAGATTTCTTGGGAAAAATGTTTATGCCTCTGGCTCCCTGATCCTGGGAAGGATGGGTCAGAGGGAGGAGGGGGTGTCTCTGCGTGCAGGTACTAGGGTGTCAGGGCTGAGCTCCCTCAATGGGGAGAAGGAGGGAAGGACTAGCCAGTCTCCTGGGAGACAAAGAGGACACGCATGAGCCAGTTTACTCCTTCCAGCAGGAAGTGGTGGTGGAGGGAGTGCAGTGGGAATGGTGTGGACATGGCTTTTAGGGGCTGAGGCTTCAGTTTCTGGGTGGGTGGGTGGGGCCAGGAATGGCCAGAGAAGGCTGTGAAGACAGGGATATGATCAAGGAAAGAGAATGGAGGGGCGGTGCCTAGAGTTACTATCCCTACTGGGGAGTCTAAGACCGGAGAGACAAATGTGAGATACCCCTGCTCTGAAGGGCAGAGGTCAGGGAGGAACAAAGAGGATGGGACCTAAAGGGAGCAGATGGGCGGAGCCAGGGGAAGGGCGGGGTCTAGGGCAGAGATGAAGATGCTGATTCTAAGTGGCGGCAGAGAAGCCCTACTGGTGGAAAAGAGAGAAATGAGTTTCCTGGGCATGCTGACCCAGCGAGTCAGGAGAACCGAGCTCCGCCCTTTCACGGCCAGCACCCCTAACACCGGCCTCCCCAGCCCTCCCTCTCACTCCCTGCGCACTCACCAGGCTCCAGCTGTAGACAAGTGCCATTGGCGTGGCACACAGAGGCCACACTGTACTTGGTTTCCAAGTCCAGCAGGATCTGGTTGTACTGCAGGAGGAAGAAGAGGGGCGTGAGCTACACCTCTGGGCTACCAGCTCAGCGCCAAGCACCATCGTGGGGCCTGTGCAGCTGGGGAGGGTGCTCCCAAGGCTCCGCCCTCTCAGTAATTCTGTAGGTGTGTGTCAACACGGCAGAAGAGGAAGCAGCAGGAAGGCCAGACACTGTCCCCGCCGTCCCCGTAGCTGGGACCTGCTTCTGACCTTGGATCCGGCAACCCCGGCTCCCTGCAAGCCACGCACCTCCTCCAGCTCCTCCACAGGCAGCGCCGCCCGCTCTAGATCCTGAATCTTCTTTATCATCCGCTTCACGGTGGCATTCTGGAAGTTGGTGACATCGAACTTCCTAGCCCAGGTGCCGTACTTGACGGTGTGGTTTGCCATCTTTGTGCTCATCTCCAGCTGAAGGCACAGGGGGAACCTCATTATGAAGCCCAGGTGCTTTGGAAAGGCCGCCTAGGAGGAGGCGCCATGTGGGGGAGCCGATGGGTCGGGGGTGGCTGAGGTGGGGCAGTTTTATCATGTTGCTGCCTTTGCCTATAAAGACCCTCTTCAACCTGGACACTCTGTACTGTTCTGTGTGCAGCACCTGCCCCTCCACAGATGCCCACAGTTGAGTAAGACATGTCGTGGCAGAGGCAGAGAAGGAAACCCCACCCATATCTTAAAGGCTGTCAGGATGGAGGCAGCTTGAGTATTAGCTCTGTGGCCTCTCTGAGCCTCAGGGGCCCAGTTATAAAATGGGAATAAGATCATTAGTTCTTCAAGGTTGTTGAGGAAAAAATGAGGCAACAGATGGCAAGTGCCAAGGAACAGTGGCCAGCACACAGCATGTCTTCAAGAAATGTTAGTTCTCTACAGCTCGCCTTTGTAAAATCCGTGCTCAGCCACAAACACAGTGAGTGGGGTTGGAGGGGAAGTGTAGCATTCGCTATGGTGGCAAACAAGGGCTTTCAACCTTTTAAAAACTGACTCTAGCATCACTTATTTATATATAAGTGATTCCCTTACCAACAACAGATTGATGATTCATGAAAGACAGCCTGTTCAGGCATCGAATATGTGTCCACCCAAGTCTGAAATTGAACACTGTTTTCAATATGTCTTTGGAATAGTTCATAAAACCTGCCCCTACTGAGATGACACCAGGGTGCCCTGGGGGAGAAGCACGTGTGTGCAGTCCATGCCCAAGTGCGAGCACGGTGGGGTGTGTGGAGGGGCCCCTACCAACATCTTGCTGCCCTCTGATGTGATATTGGTGTTGTAGTTCCAGTTGGCCTCTGCGTACTGGTTCAACACCACCTGGGATATCCGGTCATATTCCTCTACAAACTTGCTGGCCTCAGTCTCATCGGACACTAGGTCTGTGGACAGAGCAGAGGGAAATAGGCAGGCCTCCCCTTGCCCTCCCGCTGCTGCCCCTGCCTCCGTGCCCCGCCCCCCGGCCGGTCCCACTTGGGCTCTGGGTTTTCGGGCTGCTGGTTGTTGTCTGGTGGGTTGTTGTCTGGCTGGTTGTTGTCTGGCTGCTGGTTGTTGTCTGACTGGTTGTTGTCTGGCTGACTGTCACCTGGCGGGTGGTCCCTTGGCCAGGGACCAGCAGGGGGCACCCACAGCAGAGCAGGAGGAGGAGGAGGCAGGGCAGTCCTGGAGCAGCCCAACCTTGGCCCATGGCCGCAGGAGAGCAGAGGCCTGCAGCCACCACCCTCTGACCAATAAGAGTGGAGTCTGCAGTGTGACCTCATAGAGCAGTGTGTCTGCCAGCCAGCCCCCAACTGGGGCCTCTGACCTGGGCACACCCTCTCTAGGATGCTGGGAAAGATGTGCCCATCTCACCCAGGGTCCTGCCAAGGAGCTCAGGGGGCTGCCTGGCCTGCCAGGGCAAGATGCCAGGGGCCCCTACGGGAGAAGCTGGTCAGGAACCGTGAACTGAGGGCCTAGGTACGGAGCCCAGAACTGAGATCCTGCTGTAGCGCCCTGCCCACCCCCACTCAGGGCTTTACCAACGCCCTCCGGGTAATTGTCAGGCATCGGTGGGTGCCACTGATACTCTGGCCAGCCCAGGACCTCGCCGTTCCGCTGGTTCTGCTCCTCCAGCCACTGTGTGACCGGCTGGAAGTAGTCAAGCAGCGGCTGAGCGTCCAGGGCACCTGAGCCGACCATGTCCTTCAGCACCTCCTGCCAGGGCTGTGAGGAGCCTGCCTGCAGCACCTTCCTGTCAGGCAGAAAGGGCACTGTGGACACAGGGGCCTTGGATCGGGGTCCACCACTGCTGCCCTGGCCCTCCTGCCCACCTCTGGCCACTTCTGACACCACCGGGCGGCAAGAACAGCAGCGTTTAGACTCAGGGGCCTTGGAGGTCTGTGAAGGGTGTGGGGGCCATTTGTCTTGCCCCATGCCAGCCAGAAGGCCCTCTCAACAAATATTTGATGAGAGAAAGAAAGGGAGAGGAGAGGAAGGAAAGGCTCCCTCCACTGCTGTGGCCCCATGGTGCCCCCACCAACTGACTCTTCACCCATATCTCCCCTCACCTCCCACCGCCCTCCCTGTGCCCCTACACACCGGAGCTTGGCCCCCGCCTGGGTGGACTGGTAGATGTCACACTGGTGCAGTGGGCCCTGGTGGCCTGCCTCCTTGCACAGGGCTTGATGGAACTGGAACTGCAGGACAAAACTCACAAAGTACCTGCAGGCACAGGGTGGGCGTTAGGGGGATGGGGGAGGCCCCTTGCCCAGACACCATCCTGCTTCCTGCAGGGCAGAGGTGGGACCAGGGGCTGCCTTGGGGGAGAAGGGAGAACCAAGCTTGGCTCAGGAAAGAGGCCCACTTGAATTCTAGGCCCTTTGGGGGGTCCAGAAGAGTGTGGGGACAAGCCCTGGGAAGGGGCGCCCAGGATCACAAAGGACGGGGAAGGGAACTCAAGATGTGACAGCACTGGGGGCGATAGTACCTGATGTACGGTGTCACATTTGGGATGTGAAACTTGGCCCCAGCATCAAAATGGGTTTCGTTTCGGACAACTGGAGGACAGATCCCCTGATACTTGGTTCTGGAAGAGGATGTGGTTAAATTGTCTTAGGACCCAAAAGTTGTACACAGGCTAATTTTGCCTTTGCAGAAAAGGCTGCTAAGCAGGCATTCCAACCGGCCACCCTGATGAACTGGGAAGACTCTCTGGTGGAGGGAGTTTAGGCAGGAAAGAAGAATGCAGTGGGTCAGAGGATGGAGGCACCGTCAGAGAGGAGGGGCCTGGGACTGATGGAGGCAGGAGGCGGGCTGCTCAGGAGGGTGGGGAGGGCCATTTGGGGTTAGGCCCTCTTTGGTCCGTCTTTGCTCACCGAAGATACCACCAGTCATAGTTGTATCGTGAAGGTGGGGTATGCCCACTAAAGACCCCCCAACGCCACTGGTCCACCAAGTAGCCAAAGGGCAGGAAAGCAATTTTTTCCAGTGCCATCTTTAACAAGTAATTGATGTCATTTTCTGTTGGGAGATGAGAAGAGAGAGGTCAGAGGGAGAGGGGAGTCCAGCCAGGACAGGGTGGGCCTGGGGAGAAGCCAGCAGGAGGTGGGGCTGGGCAGATGCAGAGAAGGGAAGGCTGGCCTTTGGGACTGTGGGGCCTGACTTGGAAGAGGGCCCTGGGGCAGCTGAGTTGGGACTCAGGTCAGGGTGGGCTGTGAGGCTCTGGGTGGACCTCCAAACCTGCCTGACATGGGGCATTGAGGCAGAAACAAGAAGAGCAGATGGAAGCTGGGGCAAGTAGGGCCCTGCTGTGGGGCTGAGTGGGGTCTGGGTGGAGCTGGGCTGGATTCTTCTCACCCCCTCATACCCGTGTCGTTGGTGACATGGTCCAGCAGGCCAATTTTGTACAGATGTGCAGGAGTGGAAGTGGAGAGTGCTAGCACATCCCCAATGGCTTCGTGGAAGCCTGGGTTGGCGCCTTGGCGCAGGGAGACGTGCTGGCCCTTGTACTGCAGATAGTATTGCACGTGGCCCATCTCGTGGTGCACCGTGGACAGCTGTTCCATGGTGACCCGTGTGCACTGCTTGATCCTGGGGCAGGGAGAGGGCACGGGTGAGGGCAGAGAACAGGGCAGGATAGGGACAGAGCATGGGGAGGATGGCATTTTAGGAAAAGGAGCCAAGAGGGCACTGCCCTGGGGTGAGAAGGAGCTGGTGGAAACCTATAAATCCTTTACCCTGCCCCGACCCACACTGAGGCCTTTCCTTCTGTTCCAAGGTACAGGGCTGGCCGCCTGTCAAGGCTGCCCAGCCAGTGCTGGGGCTGGGGTGGATGCAGGCCTGGGAACTGGCTTCTCTGTGCCTGGGCTGCTGGCCCTCCCCAAGCCCCAGAACCCTCCTCCCACATCTGGACCTGAAGTCTCTCCTGTTGTAGAAGTCCCAGGCAGAGGCATGGCACACCACCTCGCGCCCGTCACTTGGTTTCTCCAGCATGGACTCTGCCCAAAACTCAGGAGGCATGGGCAAGAGCCCCAGGGAGGTGAAGAATTCCTCTGCCACCCGGAACATGTGTGTAGCATTCCAGCCCTGGTAGGGGTGCGGGCGTGAGTCAGGGGCCAGCTGCTGGGGCTCACTGTGGCTGCCCTGGGGGCCCCCCAGGTCAGCTCCCTGCTTCTAGAGGCTGAGCCCCTACTGACCACAGCAGATAAGCAAAAGTGGACTACAGCTCACACCCCCCAGCAAAGTCCTGGAGGAAGGGGTTGGCACCTCAGCGAGGACACAGACCTCAGCTCACAGCTTGTGCACACACTCCAGGCTGCTGCTCTGTAGAAAGGGAGGGGCCCTTCCCGCCCCCTCTTCATCTTTGACTCCCTCTTGTTGCCCCCACCTTGGCCAGACCCCAAGCTTACCTTCTGTACCATAGTACTGGTAACATCAAGATTGGGCTTGTCAGGGAAAGGCACCACCATGTCGTAGATGTTGTCCCAGCTCTGGGCCCACATGTCCCCTAGACAGAGGAGGGGAGCCAGACAGCATGGCTCCCCATCCAGCCAGTGCCTGCTTCCCCATGCATGTTGCTGGACAGCACCTGGGGCCAACACCTGGACCCAGTGGTGCTCCAGGGCCGCAGCCCGCTTAGCTGGCTCACACATTAGTCCTGCCCACACTCCCGAGTGCTCGGTGTTTCCCGGGACTGGCAGAGGCCAAGTGTGAGCCCAGGTGGTACTGCTGGGGTCCTTTCTAACAGTGCCAGGGTTCCTGCCTTCCAGCCCTGACACAGGCCACAGGATTGCTTCCTGGGGCATAAACTAGACTTATTTTTCCTCCTCTGCTGCACCAGGAACCAAAGTCTTCAGTGTGACTCCTGGCTCTGACTTTAACTAGTTCTCTTCCCTCTGTCAAGTCACTCATGCAACCTAAGCCTCAGGGTCTCCATCTGAAAAGTGGGAACAATTATGATCATGAGAAGGATCACCTGCTTTGTAGTATTGCCGATGAGCCACTCCGGCTCATGGGCAGGGGAGTGAGCAGTGCAGTGCTCTGAAATGTGAGACACAAGGACTCTGGGACGTGTGTGAAGGCAAGACCAGGTCCTTACCCAGCAGGTGAGCAGGGATGGGTCCCCTGAGGTTGATGTATCTGTCCCCGTATCGGCGGTGCAGCGCGCGGCGGACGTAGGCATGGAGATTCAGGTAGAGGGGCTCTAGCTGATGGTAGAGATGCTCCAGATCCTCCGTGAAGGTAGGAGAGTCGTACCAGGAGCGCCAGTAGGCCCCCGTGTCTGAGAAGCCTAGACATAGGGTGGCATTGGGGTGCAGCTCAGGCCTTCCCACCTCCCAGCTACCACTTGGCCATCCTCCTGGCTTGGGGCCAGTGTATCTGTCAGCCAGCTGAAGGGATGGCTTGGGGGGTTGCAGTTCTACAATTTTGTAGCTAGGAGTTGTTCCAACTCCAGCTAAACAGATTCTGGAGAGCACAAGAAGCAAAGATGAGCCCTAGGGCTGGGAGGAGTGCCAGGAGGGGTGGTGTGAAGGCAAATGGGGCTCAAGCCCAGCACGACCATCCGCTACCTGTGCGACCTTGGGCCGGTGTATGGAGTCATCATAACAGCTGCTCTGTCTGCCTCAGGGCGGTGAGGCTCATTGGAGACTGCAGATGGGAGGGCAGCGCCCACACAAGGGTTGGGGCGGGCATGCTCACCATCCTGCTTGTAGGCCTCATTGCTGAGGGCAGTGAAGTCCTGGTACAGGGGTTTCAGTGGGATGCCTGCGGCGTTGTGCCAGCCCTCCCAGGCATACAGCAGCAGAGTGTAGCTTCGCGAGGCAGCCAGAATGTTGGTGAGCTCTGAGACACAGGTGAGCAGGGTCAGTTAGAAGAGTTCAGCAGAGTTCCTACACTGGTCCTCACTATCTCCATCTTGACATCATGATACCCACAAAGCCAAGGGCAAACTACAAGCTGGACAGGATGGAACTGGGAGCTATACAAAGCAAGCACTCAGGCAGGATCCTGGTCCCCAGGGAAATGATGATCTAAGGTGGATGACATAAAGAGGACATTTAGAGGTCCAAACCAGACAGACTCTTCAAGGCTCCTGAGGCAGAGTGGATGACCTCAAGTCTACCGGGTCCATGGGGGTGGGCGGTGGGGGAGAGGAGAGTATAAGGGAAGACATGAGAATGTAAGGCCTCTAGAGGGCTCATAGGGAGAATGAGAAGACCCAAGAAAGGGCAAACCAGACAGCCAGGAGGAAGGCCAGTGGTGGTGGGAAAGGCCAAAGCACACACGGGGTAGGGTTGGGAGTTGGGGCTGGAGGCTGGAGATTCCAGAAGTCAGTGTGTCAGGAGGAGCAGGGGTGTGGGGGCACCTGAGGGTCCAGCTCCAGTTGGAGGTCAATGCCTTTGGGTTTACCCACTCACTCTGCAGACCCTCCCCAGAAACATGCGGTCCTCCTAGGAGCAGCAGGGTGATTGGGAAAGGTAGGCAGCCTGGGCAGACGGAGACAGTGGACACAGGGCCATACCTGGGTCCAGGGACCAGCAGGTGGCAGTCTTGCTGGGGAAGCAGACCTTGGCTGTGGAGTAAATCCTGGTCATGTTGCTTAGCAGAGAGTTGTACTGGGGAGTGAGAGTTGAGGAAATGTTAGCGAAGAACAGCTCTCAGAGATAACCTGGTTACCCCCTCCTTCTTTTGCTGGGAGGAAAAGGAGGTGCAGAGAGGGGAATGCGGCTTGGATAAGGCCAACTTCGTGGCACTCAGAGCACATCTGAACATGAATGCACAGATTCCCCTTCCAGGGGAGGCAGCCTGTGGGGGTAGGAAACAAATATCCTTAGAATTAGGGATCAGGGTTCAAGTCTGATCTCTGCCACCATCCAGCAGTGAGGGCAAATCCCATTCATTCTCTGGCCTTGATGCCTTCTCAGTCCTCCTCAATCTTCTAAGGAAGCCCATAAACTAAACCACCTGTGGAGAAACTTTGACAACATGTTTGATATTTTACAATTTAATTGAATCTTGTTTTCTATTCCATAGTACTTGCTTTAATATAAAGTGACTTCTCATCCCATCTCAAAGGAAATTCAATGCTTCAGAAAGCCGTCCTAGGCTTACACAGGCTTCCCTTACAGTCAGGGCTAGTAGAGATTCCAGGGCCCCTCCGTGGCAGGCTCCCCACCTTCCACCACCATGGGGCACTGGGAGGCACCTCGGTCACTTCTGCCTCCACCCCTCAGGTCCACCAGGCCCACCTGCTGCCGCTTTGCCAGGGGCAGGTTGGCAGAGCCCAGGGTGCGCACGACACTTATGATGCGTCTCAGCGAGGGGTCACTGAAGTTCTGCCAGATTGGGTCGTACAGAGCTTTGGCCTTCTGGCCCCAGGCCTCTGAAAACTCCTGAGTGAGCAGGGCTGCTTCCTCCTGTGGGCACCAGAAGGGCACAAGAGGGTCAAGAGGAGAAGCCATAGCGCTGGGGGAGGGGAGGAAGGCCAAGGCTTTGTGGAGACTGGGGCTTGGGATTACTGCTCCCTCTTTCTGGGCCCTCCACATGAAGAATGAGGGAGTCTGCCTCAGGGAGGCGGTGGAGCAGAAACTGGGGCCAGAAGAGAGGCAGGGGGAAGAGAGGGTGAATAGACAGTGATGATTGGTGTCAGGCACAGTGAGACAGGGGTAGGTTGAAGCCAGAGAGGACAAGAACCCAGAGCAGAGCGGGCACCCTCGGCGAAGACTGCCGCCGACCCACCCGCTGTCATCCCGGACGCTGCCACCTGAGGGGACTCGGTGCCGAGGGGCCAGCCTTATCCATTCGGTTCCTTATTGGGTAGGGACCACGTGCCCAGCACCCTGCTAGGGCACCCACTGCTCGTCTGTCGGAGCGGGACTCGGGGAGAGGCCCGCGGGCCCCGCCAGGACCACACGGCCCTGGGGCCAGGGGCGCGCTCCGGGCAGTGACTCCCCGCCCCGCGGCGCCGGCCGCCGGC